CAACCATTCTTTATATGTTTTAGTACCCTGTTTCTCCAACAATACGGCCTCCCCCAGTAGGAAGTCCCAGCATGTTTTATAGGCATGAAATGAAATTAAGCCCTTCCCCCACAAATTAAGGCCTATATTAAAACATGTGAAATGGTGGTGGTGGTGGGGAAATGGTGGTGGTGGGCTTGCCGTTAGGAAGTACTTTTGTTGCACACCCGGATATGGTGCTGCCCGCGTTGACGATACGAAGTGCCCCACCAACGCCGAGGTCAACATCCAAGCCGTTGACACCTGCCCACCCAAAGATGCAAGGGGGGGGGAATTAAGTCACCCCCAAAAAGACAGCCTACCCATTTTTTCGGGGCTCCAAAAAAAAATAAGACCCGGCCTTATTATATGAGAAACACGGTATAAAACTGCCTATGCTTAAAATAGGGTCTCGGTTTGATAAAATGGTTATTGAACAAAAACAGCAACAACATCTAACAGGTTGCTCTTAATGAATAATTTTAATTGTACCTCTCTCTCACTTGATCTTTCTCTTTTTCTCTCTGCATACATAATGCACCACCACTTTTGTATTAGTGTCATCTATGAACCGAAATTGTGAACATGTAAATCTGTGTTGCTTTAACTTAACCCTACCCAAAATGGTTTCTAGAGACTTTTTTTACTTTTACTTTTTTACATCTTCTAAAATTACCTCCCACTTAATTAATAATTGAGAGCCAGTTTGGGGTAGTGGTTAAGATGGTCTAATAATTAGACTAGTATTATGTTTGTTATGTTTGCTACCTATAATAAAGGCAGGATTTAAAAAAAAATCAAATAAAAACAAACAAATAAAAAATACAAGGCTGTCAATTTTCTGTTCTCCATCTATGAAGAGAATTGTTTGTTTGCCAGTAAATGAAAAGATATTGATTGAAAAGTGGATTGTATATGTCCAAAAATGCTGATGTCCAATCATTGCTTAATTCTTTACTCATCCACATTACTTTCTGGAATATCCTAGATGTAATTTTATTTATTTCTTTATTCAGTATGTATAGCCACTTATCTTAAACCAGTGACTTTGCCAACTGTATGCTATTCTTTCATCTTATAATTGTCCCCACTGTTAGCAAGTTTCTCCTTAATTCCAGGTTGCTTCTCTCCTTGATTAGTTTCCATCCATTGTGTCTTGCCTTGCCTTCTGGTACTTTAGAAAATAAGTTGACCCTCTCTTCTTTGTGGTGGCAGCTCCTCAAATACTGAAACACTGCTATCATGTCCCCCCTAGTCCTTCTTTTCTCTAGACTAGCTGGACCCAGTTCTTGCAACCGTTCTTCATATGGTTTTGTCTTCAGTCCCTTAATCATCTTTGTTGCTCTTCTTTTTACTTTTTTCCAAAGCCTCAACATCGTTTTTGGAACATGGTGACCAAAACTGAATGCGGTATTACAAATGTGGTCTTACTAGGGCTTTATGAAGTGGTACTAATACTTCACATGATTTTGATTCTATGCCTTTGTTTAACCAAGGATTTAAACCATTTAAAGATGCTAGGTCACATCAACCTGGTGAATTCATCAAGTGTTCCGTGTAAGTGTGAAGTTTTTCCAAAAATACCACGAGAATGATAGAATTTTGTTGCAAAAGAGAAAAAGCAAGTTTTGAAATGGCTTACAATTATGAATTCTCAGAACAACAATAAGCAGGGAAAGTGAAAAAGGCATTCATCTACTGTCTTCCTTTTTAAGAAAAGAAAGACACCTCAAAAGATTGAGAATCCATCAGTTTGGATACTTAAAAGCTAGCATTAAAATGAATCTGACCCTGTACCTAAACAATGGTTAACCAAGCTGTCAGAAAGAAATTCATTCAAACTTCACAAATCTGCCACTTACTTCAATGGATTTCAACAAATCTAGTGACTCAATTTATTGTCATTTATATAGACTATAAGCTACCATGCTCCAAAACACACAATAAAGTCTAAAGCAATTATGTATTTAGAGCATTTACAGCATGTATGCCTGCCAACTGAGAGGTGAAAATAAATACAAGCTGGTTGGGGTTTTTTTGTGGACAATTTGTCAAAAAAATTAGGGTCAGTGCCATTCTCCCCTTATGAAACTGTGGATTCATTAAAATTCATTCTATTTTATTGCCTGCCTTACTCAGACAGTTTTCCACTGCAGTTCTCTCTCTTTTAAATTAAAGAATACATGAACAGTCCCACTTAAGAGCTTACCATACTTATTTTATGTTGTTTGCAAGATAAATAGAAGTCTTCAGTTGTCAATTCAAGCATGTAAATTATGTAGACTGATTTTTTAAATGTCCTTTTATCAGCTTTCTGGCTTGTCCAGCTGATCATACAATACCACAACTACTGTGATAGTTCTAGTTCAGTAGTTCCAGAAAGTAATGCTGTTATCTTCTACCTGCGCTAGCTGGCATGGGCAATGACTATAGACTGGGAATGGATGAAATGCCCCGATCCTACCTATTCACCAGGTTTCCCTTTCTTTTCCCTTCCTTTTTTTTTAGTTTTAGCATTTCATCTTTTACCAGATTCCTTTTTGTTCTTTCCCTTCAAAATGTTGGAAATAAATTATGCAAAATGGTGAGAACTCTGTCATTTTGTAGGATAACTTTCTGAAAACTCAGCTGCAACGGAGAAGATTTGAGGGGTGGGAGAAGCTGGGAAAAAGGAAGATTAGGCTAAATCTCAAATTTCATTCTGTTAAATCTCAGTTGGACTTTCTAAATGGCTGGGGAAAAAATGAATCTTGGTGAGACAATGCAGTTGGACACTCATGTAGAATGCTGAATACTCCCTATAAGCTTTTACATCATCCACACATTGTGTCAAATATGTGGATGACACCAAAATTGCAGTCTACCCAATACCCAAAATAACATAATGAGATAACAATAGCTTGGACAGGTTGGACAGAAGCCATGAAATATTTTTCTTCTCTGTCCTGGTGAACACTTGGAGCAGATTCTACAGGCATAAAAATATTGAGAGGTTAGAATGTATTTAGTACTTGTCACATTAACCTACCGCACAGAGGTACTGAAAACATAGAATAGTTTATATATTGTAAATATGTATGTTTTTAAACCTCTATAAAGATTCTGAATTCAAATTACAAAAGCAACCTAGCAATAGCACTTAGACTTGTATACTGCTTTGCAGTGCTTCACAGACTTCTCTAAGCAGTCTACTGAGTCAGCCTATTGCCCCCAACAATTTGGGTCCTCATTTTACCCACCTTGGAAAGATGGAAGGCTGAGTCAACCTTGAGCCTGTGAGATTTGAACTGCCAAATTGCAGGCAGCTGCCCTGGCAGTCAGCAGAAGTAGCCTGCGATACTGCACTCTAACCACTAGGCCATGGCGGCTCATGATAAACAATGAAAAGAGTAAAACTATGAATTGAATGGACTAGTAATTAAAATAATGTGCTATTTTTAAACAATGTAACTGTGAAGAATACAACAGGTTGGAGTGTTTTCTAGACCAGGAAACCTCTACACACAATAAGACATTTTGTGTTGTTTTATGTGGCACGCATATCAAGAAAACCAGCCGTTGGTGATTAAAATCTTGTTAATAAGTCACAGCAATAAACAAGAGAGCCGGGATAATATTGCATTTTAATTTGCCAGGTGGCAAACCTGATTAGGAGCAAAACAAGGCATAAAAAACAACTAAAGTAACATGATATTACTGAGGGGTCACTAATGTCAGCATCAAGTTTTGGAAGAGTTCCATAATGCTTTTCAAGTCCATCTGGAGAATGATCCATTCCACCTAGATTAATGTGCTTATTTCAAAGCAAAGCATTTGAAGAAATAGATTCCAACAAATGGATTCAGACAAGGACCATAAGGGTGAACAGGGGAATAGTCAATAAATCGCATGATGAGAGATTAAAGGAACCAGAAGAGATGATTAGGTATGATACTACTTGAAAGGACATCAGGGTATGGTTAAGTTTGGTTCTCTATCGTTCCAAGATATGAAATAATGGACTTAAGAAACAGGAAGACAGGTTCAAATTGGATGTTAGGAAAAAAGATATCTAACAGAAAAAGCATTTTGCCTGGAGAACCAAAAACTCATGGTTTCATTCTGCTGAACATGATTTAATTTGGATCTTTGGATTGAACAAAGCTTAGACTTGATGACCTAAATAGAAACATAGAGATATATGATTCTATAGGAATAGTACTAGCACTTAGACTTATATACCACTTTACAGTGCTTTACAGTCCTCTCTAAACCATTTTACAGAGTCAGCCTATTGCCCCCAACAATCTGCGTCCTCATTTTACCGACCTCGGAAGGATAGAAGGCTGAGTCAACCTTGAACCTGGTGAGATTCGAACTGCCAAATTGCAGGCAGCCAGCAGAAGTAGCCAGTACTGCACTCTAACCACTGCCCCACCATGGCTCATAGTGAAGATTAGTGAAACGAAGAATGAAGATAAATGAAAGCTATAGAGTGTCAACTCATAAAGCATTCCTATGCCTGTTTTAGATTTGCTATAAAGAAGGAGTAGGGGAGGAGGAAGGAAATCTGGAAGAGCAGTGTGGCAGTTTGAAACTGGAAGTACATTCCAACACTTCTCTTTCAAAGATTGTAACTAAGCTACTGGAGCTTTTGCCCATGAAAATATTTAATTGGAGACCGTGATTAAGTGGTAATCCAAGTGGAAAAGATGTTTCCTGCTTGCTTCAGACAGAAAGGTGTTTTAAGTGGAGGCTGTTTAAAATCACAGAAAAGCAAGAAACCAGAGATTCAGTGAATAAAAAAAGAGGGTTACAGTACATCCAAATGCCAGTGTAAGGATGGTCATTGTTCTCTAAGGTTCTACAAACATCCACAGCCAATATTTGATCATGTATCTGAGGTTTCGATAAAAACTTGCATCACGGTGGTGTGTTATGCTTTAAGAGACTTCCAAATTCTCAATCATTTTAAAATTGTCGTATCCAGAAGATGGTCTTACCTGCTTCTTTGGTTCGGATCACTTTCGACGGTGTGCTTGGATCTCCTGTTCCAATTTTGTTAGTTGCTACAACTCTAAATTCATACTCTACCCATGGGTTCAGTTCAATTGCTGTTGCAGATTCCAGGTCACCCCCTATGTGTTCAGGAACTGTGAAGAACAAAGAGGCAATCCATTAAAGCACACTCTCTAAATTTCTCTCTAATCACTAAACTGAAGCTAGAGGAAACAACCTAGAATTGGTAGCATAATTAAGAATTTGACCTTTGCCAATTTCTATACAAATCTGCTTTTTCAGATTCATGATAAAATATCCAACAGATTCAAAATTTCTTCAAATGCTGCAATGCAGGTTTTTCAATTTAACTATACTCAAATAAATATGTAAATACTATTTGGAGATGAAATGTTATTTCATACAGATTTAATTTAAATGAGGGGCAGAGTTCTCTTTTAGCTTCTCTCCATTTTTTTTCTTTTATGATTTAAAGAGATGTGGGTATATTTGGTGGCATAGTAGCAGACAAAAATCTCTGAATAATACCCCCACCTTGTTTTATTTTGAAATATATTCTGGATATACTCTTATCAACCTTATAAGGAAACCTTAGACTTGACTTTTGAATATCCCTTCTGAAAAGAAAAGAGGAGATAAAAGAGAGACTCAACCGTGGAAGACTCAGTGGTCTTCCAGCATTGAAACTTCAACTCAAAAGATACAGAAAAAAAGAACTATATATTGAGGTAGGTTATCATGGCCAGTAGCTATTAGGTAGTGTTGTGTTTCAGGATTTAGCAACTATGGTCTAGAAAACAGATTTCCTGATGTTTTGATTGCAACTTGTGGCTGGCACCTTCAGAAGCAAGGTGGTGTGCTTTTTAGACCACTCAGGGACCCACTGGATTCTGTCTTTATAATTAGTTCCTAATTGGCCTTTAGCCAAGTTGGTTTCTGATTGGTGCAGGTTAGTGAGGGCTGGTCTCTGATTGGTTCTTTCCACTCTGTATACATTATATGTTTTGCAAGAAAAAAAAAAGGAAGCCCAGACAACAAACATGTCCAGGTGATGTTGTTCATAGAATCTGAATAAAAGAACTATGCCAGCTTTGGACTGCTGTAATTCATTTCAATGTAGATTCTCACAAAAGAAAGAAAATTGCCAGAAACAACAACAACAACAACAACAACAACAACAACAATAAAATAGGGGAGAAAAGCCACGACTTGCTAAATTCCCTAACACCGGTGTGAACTTGGGTGCAGTCCCAAAACAACTGGAGCACCATTTGGAACCATAGGCCAATGATGGCGAACCTTTTCAAGCGATGAGTGCCCAAACCGGAACGTGTGTGCATGTGCGCCTGCCAGAGCGCTGGAAATCCAAAGCCCAGATGGCTGGTGCGTGCATGCCTGTTTTTTTGGCTGTTCTTGACCATTTTGGGGGCCATTTTCAGGCCATTTTGGGAGCCGTTTTCCAAGCTGTTTTTGGCCTGTTTTCAGGGCCATTTTCTGGTGCTCTGGCACCAGCAAAGACCAGCTGGCTGATGCACATGTGTGCACCAGAAACGAGAAGAGCAGCTGGCGACTGCACATGTGCCCACAGAGAGGGCTCTACGTGCCACCTCTGGCATGTGTGCCAGAGGCTCACCATCACAACCATAGGCATTGACAAATTTGCCACCAGTCAATTACAGAAGGCAGCTTTACTTAGAACAGCTTCCATCCTGCGGTGATATCTGTAACACCATCAAACATCCAGATTTGCCTATCCCAGGTCCTTGGTAAGGACTTGATAGGTAGACAAAAATGCCAAACCCAGTCTGAACATCTGGCTGACTGTGCAAATCATCATCATCATCATCATCATCATCATCATCATCATCATCATCATCATCATAATCTCTTGCCTGTTTTCACAGTCTGCCAGCCAAGTGAAAATGGACTTCGTGCTTGTAAGTTGTAAGAAGTGATAGGACTGTGGTTGTCTGCTCCCGGTGTCCATGAAAGAGTGGCAGTGACCTCTGTAATTTCTTCAACAATGACAACCCCAGGAGGCCCAGGTGGACCTGGAAGGAAAGAAGGAAGGAAGAAAAGAAGGAGAAAAGGGAAAGAAGGAAGGTGAATGCACTGATTTTAATTCACCATTACTGCACTGCCCATATACTTGTAAGTATACAGTCATCTAGTCTGCTAATTCCCTCAACACTGTCAAACTATTCACTAAGTCTGCATTACTATTACTATTAACCTTCTCATCACTCCTTATCACCCATCCCCTCCCACTTGTGACTGTATGACTATAACCTTGTCACTTGTATCCTTACGATTTATATTGACTGTTTCCTAGTATGATTTGATTGTTTATTGTACCCTATGACTATTATTAAGTGTTGTACCTTATGATTCTTGACTCTTGACTAATGTATCTTTTCTTTTATGTAAACTGAGAGCATTTGCACCAAGACAAATTCCTTATGTGTCCAATCACACTTGGCCAATAACAAATTCTATCCTATCCTATCCTATTGTATCCTATCCTATCCTATCCTATCCTAAGTTATCCAGATTGATTAGCATAATTTGGTGACTAGCAACCTTACAGATATTTTAAGGCACTCTGTCATGATTATGGTGCCAGATGTGAACCAGAAAATATTCAAATCCTTTCTTGATTAGGAAAGGCATTGGATATTTTTGAGCCAACATTTTCCAACATGATTCAACCTAACAGGTTGTGAAAATAAAATGGAGCGATAGCAAAAAAGAATAAACACACATTTATACCTTGGAAGCAAAGTTGAATGCAAGTGAAATAAATAAGACAGGCTAACATATTCTGCAGGACATTATTACTCCAGAATTGCCATTGTTAGTCTAGAAATTACTGCTAACCATTATTGTACAATTACTAAGAAGCAAGCCCTACTAATTTCCATAAAGCAAAGATGCAAACATATGGCTAATGTTTTTTTCATTGCTATAGTGAGTATGTTTTTAAGATAAAGAACTGACTTGAAATATTTGCAAAATATAATAGTAATATTAACTCCTATTTAATGGTACTTTTTATATATTTTTTGAGAATAAGACCTAGAGATCTGTGGTAGATGCAAATGTGATAAAATTAAAACACATGTTGATGCCACAGTATCATTCTCCTTTTCTGTACTTTTGTTCTGATGTCAGACACAAGTATGAAGGCCACATAATTCCAGTCAATGCCTTTGAAGATGACTAGAACTGGACACAAATACTCCATCATATTGTGCTGATGATATTTGGATAGGACAAAGTAGGTGATATAAAACCTCCCAGTAAACTCCATAGTTCATGTACTTGTTAATTAAATTTATGAAATTGATATACAATCTGAGTTTATGCCAGAGAACTGACTGTCTTAAAGTCTTCCTTCCATCTGTGAAGCTAACATTGTGAAGAATCTCTTGGTTACTGAATCCGGGGTGAGCATTAAAATCAAAAATGATAGAATATTACAGAGGTATGATCATCTATCAGAGAAGGTTAGCACTTAGTACCCATTTCATTGGAACCCATTGTGGTCACTGAACGAGTACTACCTGTATAGTTGAGCATGGAGATGGCCTTGAAGAAGGAATGCAAATGTTATATGAACATAAGCTATACAGGTGGAATAAGGAAAACCCCCTCAAGATTTATTTCTTCTTGATTCTTTAGACTAACAGGGGAGGTAGTTTCCTGACAGTTTTTAAGATTCTTGTCATGCCCCTGATGGAATCTGATTCTGAGGGGGAGGTCGAGCAGCTGACAGGGAGTGGGAGTGTGGCTTCAGTGGCTGTGGAAGAAACTCAGGAAGGGCACAGTCCAGTTGGATATTCAGAGGAAGACCCAGAGCCACTTCCTCTTCATCCTAGGGCATTCAGGGAGGAACAGAGAAGGGAGCAATGTGAGTTACGTGGGTTATGAGGGAGAAAAGGGCCCTGATTCCCTTCATTGACTGCAGCTGGGAAAACAGGATTTTAAAAGGGCGTTTGCGCACAGCACCTTGCTGGAAGTAAAGCGCGAATTATCTTTGTTTGTCAAGTCTTATCTGGGTTTTGGCGTCCTCCCAACTGTGTGGGTTTCGTTATCTTTTGAAGTTTTCAATTCCTTATCCTGCCCTGTCTCATTAATTGCTGCAAAGTGGTTTGAGTTGGTTTTTATTTATAATTTATATATACTTTGGGTTCAGACTGAATTTCTTCCCTTTAAAAACTGTTCTTGGGAGAGTATTTTCTCCAGCCAATGATAACTGGACACTGGGGACCAAGTTGGAGGTATTAAAGGGACTTTACCTATTTTTGTGACTTTGTTGCTTTTGTGACACACCCCAGGTCATCACAATTCTGTTATTACACCCTACAATAAGATACAGTTTGTGTAATATCTGTTTTGTGACCTGCTTTGTCTCAAAAGTCTCTGGCAATAGGAGAACATGCAAATCATAGTTTTTAAATTCTTTTTAGTCTTTTAAAAGTAGTTCCACTCTAGGTCGTGTGATTGGAGAAAAAGGGGGTGTACTGAGAATGCAGAAGGTGACCATATCTGCCCCTTCTCATTCCCTTCTGGGGATGCATGTGGGATTTTCTTCTGGGATGGATTTTTTGGAGAATTATCAGGCTGAACAACATATGGGCAAGAGTCGTGATGTTCTTCACATTAAACATTTCAGAGTATGAGCATATGGGATCCTAAAACTCCAAAACGTAATTGACTAATATATACATATTTTTAATTGGCTAAGGCCCAGCTGGTCTGCATTATATTTTCTTCATTTGTTTAGGATACATATTTGTGAATTTATTTATTGCATTTGTAATCTGTAGACAGTGGGGCTGGTTGGCTGTTCTTATTCATTTCAAAAGGGTTTGTGCAGAAAGTGGTGTTTGGGGCTTCATTATTTCTCTCAACAGGAAATAATTTTAACCCTTTTTTTAAAAAAAAACAACCCTCAGTTTCCAGGTAGTTTTTTGATCTTTAAATTCAACAAATGTACAGGTTAAGAATTGAAAGAGGCTCTGGCTAGCTTTTGGTACAGCCTTGCATTAATCTTGGTGCTGAAAGCAAGATTTTCTTTTTAATAAATATGTCCTTCATCTTGAGAAGGAAGATGATGCATCTCCCCCCCCTCTCTCCCTCCCTCCATGTGTGTGTGTGTGTGTGTGTGTGTGTGATGTGTGTGTGTTTGTGTGTGTGCTCACAGTCACTTTCATGAATATGTTACCAGGAACTGTCTGATTGAAAATATTTTTTTTTAATGAACTTTGGTTGTTTCTCCAATTCTTCAAACTTGCTGAAAGAGCACTGATTCTCCATCAACAAGATTTCATGTTAAATAGGAATGATGATAGAATACTGATATAAAGCAATCTATTCTTGAGTCACATTCTATGAATTTTGATTTTCATCCTGCTGTTTGTTTCATGAATCGCAGCAAACCATGATGTAGCTGGCTAGGGTATGGTTTACTGTCTTGCCTGAATCCAGCCATTGTGGTTTGCAAAGGATGGTTTAAATACTGCACAAATGTCCATTAAAAACAACAACAGCAAAGCAACAGAATTTTGAAAGTGTGGCTAAAGGAGTGGTGTAAAAGGGAAGGCTTTGGTTTTATTAGTCATGATTCCTGCAGCTTGTCCAATGAAAAACTGTATAAAAGAGATGGTTTGCATCCATCAAAGAAGGGGACTGAGTTACTTGGCATTAAATTCACAGATTTCCTGGATAAACATTTAAACTGAACAGCGGGGACAGAGAATTAATGGATGCAGAACATCTCTGTCCCCAGCAACCTAAAGCTAATAAGGATACAGTGCATGCAAAATAGATGTTTGTGCAGGTAAGATTATCAAGCTTGATGTCAAACAAAACCAAGCATTTAATAGTGAGTGCCATATCATGTGTACTAATCAAACAGGTGGCAAGAAAGTAGGGACAGCCAGGCACAACACAGGTTATGTAGACAGTAAACACAGTGTCTGACATAAAGATCTCAAGTGCCTATATACAAATGCACAAAGTCTGGGGAACAAACAGGGTGAACTCGAACTATGAATACATGAAGGTAAATATGATATAGTTGGAATAACAGAAACTTGGTGGGATGAAACCCATGACTGGAACATACTGGTAGAAGGCTACAAACTATTTAAAAAAAAACCAGACCCCATAAAAGAGGAGGTGGAGTTGCACTGTATGTAAAGGACCACTATATTGCTACAGAAATGCATGAAACCAAAAATGAAAATCTCCTAGAATGCATATGGGTCAATATAAAAGAAAAAAAGAATGACATGGCCATAGGTGTATATTATAGGCCACCCAATCAAGCAGAAAATATAGATGTCCTTTTTGCCAGCCAACTAACAAACATATGCAGGAAACATACAACAATAGTAATGGGAGACTTCAATTATGCTGATATCAATTTGAAAACTAATTCTGCACCAAGTGAGAAATCAAATAAGTTCCTAACCAACCTAGCTGACAACTTTGTTGTCCAAAAGTTAGAGGGTGAAACTAGAGGGACAGCCATACTGGACTTAATTCTTACAGAGAAGAAGTGATAGAAGGAGTTGAAACTGCAGGAACCTTGGGTGAGAGTGGCCATGTCATACTAGAATTCAATGTAACACAAACACAAGCAAGAGAACATAATGACACCAGAGTCTTGGATTTTGAAAGCGCTGATTTCAATAAACTCAGAGAGAACTTGGGAAAGATTCCATGGATGAAAATCCTAAAGGGGAAAACAACTCAAGAATCTTGGGAAACTCTAAAAAGTATGATCATAAAAGCCCAGACCAGCACAATACCACTGAGAAAGAAAAACAAGAAATCCAAGAAGAAACCAGCATGGCTACACAAAGATCTCTCTGGCAAATTGAAAGAAAAAAAAGGACAAGTACAAAAAATGGAAAGAAGGACATACAACTAAGGCAGAATATCAGCAGATAGCCAGAATCTGCAAAGACGAAGTCAGGAAGGCAAAGAACGAACAAAGACTTGCAACAAAAGTCAAAGATAATAAAAAAAGTTTCTTCCAACA